TAATTCACGTTGTAATGTCGTACGCGGCAGATTAAATTCATGATTCGTCCACGGGTTCTGCGCCTCATTACATGATACACAACACGTACCATTGACGATGCTCAATGAACGACCTTCTAGGTTTTGTAAAGATCCCCTGCACGACATTGAAAAGTTCATTGGAAGTTTCTGAACGAAAGCATACATACATGTTGCTCGTTCTTCTCGAATACTAATTGTTAATTTAACGAACACCTTGCTGGATCAGCTGCGTGTGTACTTGATCTTTACAATTGAAGATGACCGTGAACACGCTTAAACGATCACGGGTCCTAAAATTCTGTCGGAGGTTCTTTTTAAAGAAGGTTATGAATAATACAAGTCGAATCGAAGGAGATCCAGTGGATCTATGCCGTGATAGATGTGACATTTATCGAATTTATTCGTCGAAGATCGCTTAATCTTCTATAATTGAATTTTTCTTTGTAGGAAACAAAAATTATTACCATCGTATATTAGTCATTTTCAACACTAGAACTACCGATCTTTAATGGGTACCTCCTAACTATAACGTGCACAGATTATAGTAATTTCAGCGATACGGTGAATATGAGTGAATATATTGATTACAGTTCTTTCTTAATACGAGTTGATACCAATTTTATTGTTAAAGCAGGTGTACGTGTTCGGTGATTGCAGAAAGGAAAATTCTGGGACCAGTCATTTTGACTGCAGTAGTTAGCAGTTCTAGTGTTAATTAACCATATTTACTGTTATATAATATTTTATGTTTACTACTGATTTACTACCGATTAGAGTCTTCTACTCTAATGTAGAATTAGAATTGAAAACTAATGACTCCTATAAACGGATTACTCGATGCTAAAATAATGATACAGGAATAAAAGAAAATAATATTTGCACAATAGTGAAGGTACAGAGCGTTTGTAATGGGTACTTGAAATTATTATACAGGGAAACGAGTTTACAGTTGACAAGTCACGTCTTTAAGTATAGAGAGTTAACGAATTTTTTAGTTACTAGAAAGTATTGTATTTACGCAACATTTAAACGAAGCTAACGATGTTCTTAACATTTTAAAGTTTGTCAACAGTTATAGCGATAGTACTCCACTAAAGAGAACATCTTCCATAATTTTGAGGGGTCACGTGAAAAATTTAAGAAATGAAACAAAACGATTAATGTCTGTTAATCGAACACGGTAGTCGCGAATAAACAAATTGCCAAGAGTAAAATATCAGTATTTATTGCATGGTTTATTTCTAATTGTACACCGTACAATATCGTTAAAAGTTTACTAGTCACTTTCTCCCATAAAACAATCTTTTACTTCGTAAATTATTTTCCTGAGCGAAAGACGTGGAGTAAAATTTAAAAACGATTTCGAGTCGACCATGAATTATATCCCTTTCTAACAATTTTTGCTTTTAAAGGCCTGTCGATTTATTTCGCTAAAAATTATCCACTTTTTAAACGGAGAGAGATACTAGAAACCAATTACCATGGTTGGTGAAACGTCGATTTGATCAATTTCTTCGTTAGCTTTTTAATTCTTCCGTTTATACAACAGTACTTATATTTGATAGTGATATAAGCGTGACGTGACAAAGAAATGCAGAATTTAAAAGACGCAGTTATATCCTATTTGACCCAAAGACAATCATTTTGGAAGCTCAGATCTGGTAAAATATCGATTTCGCGTATGATAGTAATTTTTGGAACTTGGATAAATGATTCATTTCTTTGATCTAAGGAATAAAAATCGAGGAAGGAATAACGACATCTTTTAAAAGATAAAAGCACGAATAAATATAATTTTACTTTCAATATTTCAAAATTGAAATCATTCGAAAATTAATGTCTTCCTAAAGATTAAAAAATTTATTGAATATTATTTAGAAAATATTTAAATAATAATTTTCGAATCTAGTTCTATTCTTAATGTTACTTACATGGGTGTTATTAATACGTTATTAATTTTAGAAAATAGTAAGACAAGTCTACTATTTTTAATAATATGATGTGAATCAGAAATATTTCGTGGAACTTCACACGTTTCGTGTAAAAGTCTGATGAAAGAATTACGTGAACGTAGCCTCAATGTTCAAATTTACATATGACATATATATTATGCGTCAATTAATATTAGTATCCGAGAAATTGAACAAAATGTCGAACATTGCTACTTATATACGAAATCTTAAAGCTTCGTGTTTTAGAATTTTTTTATATTACTTTTATTCAGTCTACATCTTGTTCGAGATATCTATCTATAAAATTCTTTCCATGACATACTAAAAATACCGAAAACGAGTGGAAAGTACTAGATTTTTAACGAAGGTTAAAGTTCTTCTTTCAAGAACGTTAAAAAGTTAAATTGCTAAGAGTGCAATTTCAAAAAATATCACAAATATCCTTATTCGTTATATTTCTCCTGACACTTTTAATAATTTAATATATATTCCGTACAACATAAATTACGTTTTAATTAAAATTTAAATTTCCTTCATTTAAACCACCAAGCTTTAAAATTCATGATCCAACGAAAATATTATTTACGCGACCTATTAAATTATTGCTAAATATTTACAATTAGGTCCGAGATAAAATAGCCACTTACCGAACTACATTTCTCACCTAATCACGTCGATATCGTAAAAATCATTTTAGTAAAAAATAAAATCCGATATACACTATGAAACGACCCAATTTACTGTATTTCTTATAGGAAAAATTAACTCGAATGAAAAAAAATTTTTTTTCAATTTCCCCACCCATAAAAAGAAGAAAAAAAAAATACGGAAAAGAAGTATAATCAATGAGTAATTATTAGGAATCCGGAGTGTCGAAAGGATTACTCGGTCGTAGCCTCGATCTTGAAACCTGGAAGGCTCGTGTATGCGTGTTATGTAAATACACGTGCGTGTGCCTGGTGTACACATACACGAAATGGAGTTAACAGGTGATGGAGCCTAACGGAACGACTGAACGGTACTCGTTTCTCCTTTTTTACTCTTTTCTCTCCCTTCCGAATGTCTGTGTGCCTTTCCGTTCCTCGCTTTATCGGTCGAGCCTGTCGGCATCCTAAATCCACTCCATTCCTTGCTAACCTTGGCCCACTGAAGAAAAAAGTGGTTCTTCCTGTGATCGATAAAAGAAAGAAAAGTCCATTCGATGAATTCGAGTCGAATTAAACGATCGCGTTTATCTGTTCTCGATCATGTTTTATGCATTCAAAATGGGATTTTTTCCAGACAAATTTCGTACACAAATGTAACATGGAAATAACAACCGTGGACGTACAGAGTCATCAAACGAGAAAGACAACGAGATAGTTAAATTATTAACTCATCAAGGATGCAAGAAAAGGTACACAATATTGGTACAAAAGGTACACTTATTCACTTACTTATCAGCAAAAGGTACCCGTGATATTTCAAGTTGACAATGAGAGTTTCCACATCGAAAGCGAAATTATTCATCGGCGATAAGGATTGTTAGAGCTGGCACGATTTTCTTCTTACTTTCTTGCAAGACGAAATTCGAAGAGTCATCGTGAATGATAAAAAAAGGTGACGCGAAATAAGAGCATATGTACACGAGAGCATGTCAGATCGTTCGAAAGGAGGTTACACAAATTTTCCAGAACAATCAGCACGGGAGGTTATCGTCCTTCTGATCGTCGTTATCGAAAGGTAGCGACTCTATCGATTGTTATCGTGGAAAATCAGGTGTTATCCCAAAGTTGTTTACGAAGTCGCTCATTGTCCGCTGAAGAATGCATGGATCGTGCTGATCTAGGTTTCGCTGAGCTTATCAGCGATAGCTACTCGATCCGCAACACTCGAGTCGCCGTTAACAGCGACTAAAAAAATGACACATAGCATCTTCAGCTAGCTACCGAATAAAGAAGCCGTCAACTTATCTTCTTTGATGTGGGCTAATATTTTTCTCTTCGAGATTCAATTTAGCAAATGACCTACTTCTAGAGGTTGCTACTTTCGGAATTTGCTCGACTTTCGACGTCGAATTTTGCTCGAAATATTTTACAGCACTTTGCGCCGCGAATTTATGGTCGGCATCAAACCGTCGATCAGTATTATGTCTCGAAATCGATGGACCCGTGAAGTGAACGGAGGAAAGATGAAAACGATTTTAAGTACGTCTTCGAAAACGATCGCCTAGATGTTTAACTATAGATAATCAATCCTGTGAAATTGTACAGAAGAGAGTCTACAAAGTCTGTTCATGACGAACAGGTTCGCTTAAGTATGCCTTTGATATATAATCGTCGCAAACGTGTATTACTCGAACACGTTTCTGCAAATGAGGTTTAATTTCCATTAATAGCACATTCGACGTGATCTGTCTACGTTAATAAAGAAATAGTGCGGCATAATAATCGGGCAAGAAGATAAAACTTCATTTTGCTACATTGAAGATTTCACCCTACAGTTATCTTTGTATGTCAATTGGAAACGAGGATCGGTAAATAGGAAAGAACGAAGTGACGACGAATAAACAGCGATAAGAAAAATTTGTTTCGCGAAAGAAAGAAATTTTGGAAAAATTTGAGAGTAATTTATGCGAATTAAAAATTAATACTCACAGTTGCCTCGGGATTAAAATAATAATGGGATTAAAAATTGGCGAAACCTTTGTGTCGGAGCTACAGAAAATTTCTTTTTCTACGAATATCTTTTCTACATTGCAGTAACACATTGCTAGCAGTTGTTAAAGCGGAAGTGCTTCATGTTTCAGACGG